GGTTACGTATCATCTCCCCTCCCTCTCTCTCTCTCTCTCCCTCTCTCTCTCTCCTTTCTTTTCTTTTTCAAACCACTACTTAACTATCGCCTTATTTTCAATGTTCATTATATCCATTTGTTCTTTATTTGTTGTTTGAGTATTATCTCAAAAAGTGTCAACAATTTGGTTTAAATTGTCCAAACTTTTTCTTAGCTATTTGTATCAAAAATTGCATTTTCAATTAGTTGTTATCATTTGTTAATTTAACTAATATCATCTTGGATATTTTATTTGTCACCATCTTGTCATCACCTTACATTTTCTATCTTTCACTTTCACATGTTCATTGACCCACCAATTCATGTCATCTGATAGCAAGACTTCCGATACTATCAGAATGTTTTTCGGCATCGAATAACAGCTATAAACATTACGAAACATGATCTTCCTGAAGCGGGCATTGAAAATTGGCAATGAATCTCTCGTCTAATGTTATGCGTTCAAGTTACCTTGATCCCATTCCGCAATACGGTAGAGCAGTACGGTGGCAATACGATAAAGGATTTATTTTACCTTTGATTTTGCAAATTAATTGGTTATGCAGTAAAATTCTCAATTCTACGCCAAACTTCCAAGATCATATTTGTCAATTTTATAATATCATTTTACCTCAAAGAAACTCTTCAATAATTCTTTTATATTTCATTTCAACGCAATGTTATGGATTATTTATTTATTAAACTGCAATATTCATTAAAATATTTATTAAAACATTAAATTTTTTTTTTATAAAGTATTTAATTAGGTTGGAAAAAAATACCTGTCATCATATAGATTTATTTATCATTCTACTACTAACAGAGGTTTATAAAGGGACAACTAATCATAAACAATTACAAATGATTATATCATTCCTAAAATTTCGTAATGAATCGGCACAATAATCGAGCAATTTATATATTTCCATCAAAAAAATTAAGTAAAACTTTCGTAGAATTTAATGATTTAAAGTTATCACAAAGGTTCACATAAACAAGAATAGAACAGTGGAAATTGGATAATAACTAGTTGACTTATCAGTAACTATTGTTAAATTAATTTATATATAAAGTGTTTGATAACGAATTATCATTGCTCTTTATTAAACTAAACTTTATCTTATTCCAGATCATACATCTCAAAATTGTATGTAATATTATTATTATTGCTATCTGATCGATCATACGGTAAACTTTTTGCGGTATAACAATCAGTAGTTTAGTCTGCATGAGAATGATTGCATGCATGCATATGTTATGTTTGCTGCATGTAATTTTTCTTATCTTGCTTTCTCTAGTGGTTTCATTGAAATATTTGAAATCAACAATTATGGAAACTTTTAAAAGTGGCCATAAAATGTCAGCGGAACATTTCTCTGTTTGTGCAATCAGTGCAAAGAATTTCTTTGCAATCGTACAGTTGCATTATTAGCTTTTTGCTAAACAAAAAAAAAAAGTTGCAACATTTTTTGTCGCAACAAACTTAAAACTTCCAGTTTGAGTTTATCATGATAAGAACTTCTGGCTTAAGCTTATCATGATAAGAATAGGCATTTTCTTCCTCATTTATTCTTTGTCACACCCAAATGGCATTACTAACCATAATCAGGTTGATAAATGCTTCCAAACAATAAAAAAAAAAAAAAGAACGTACCTTGAAATATCTTATCAATTATTTCAACGATTTACGTCTAAAAATGTTTAATGCGCAAAAATTTTACATCGTTCATTAATTATGAGTCAATTTTAAGATGATACTTTGGAAAAAGTACGACCAAACAGTTGTAATTATTCTTTCAGATATTGCAATACTTTTTTCACCAATGTCGCTTAGTATATTAATTGTGGTGACTTTCTTCGTTCAACCATTTCATACCTTCCAAAAAATTATAAGTATTTAAATTTTTTGTCGAATAGCAATTTATTACTAGTTAATTTACACTTTATTACTTATTAATTTACATTTTGTTGCTTATTAATTTACATTTTCTTCTTATTAATTTAATTGTAATATAAATTAGGTTGATATTATCGCCATATTATGCTATACTTTTGCCTTTTAATGAACCAATAATAATTTTAAGATCACGAACAATTACGTAAAGAATATTCATGGCAGCCACCTTCTGATAGCTATATGGGCAAGTATACAAGTGCTGCAGTTACCTGCGATCATGGATTGTGCAGTGAAATTGGCAGGTAACTAATTACGGTCATTAAATCGTATTACAATTAGAGTAATCTGAAATTTTGGGGAAAATTTAAATACAAACTTCTAAATTGCGAATATAACCCAAGAGATAGTTGTAAATTTAAAAAGAAAAAAAGAGGTCAAAGATTAGTTATTGACATTCATATTTGTTTACATTTATCTATTTTAGTTTCTGACATTCATATTTGTTTACATTTATTATTTTGACTGTTGTACATTTATTTAAATTTATTGGTGTAAGGAAAGTATTTACATTGCCATCGTCCCATAGAATGACTTACTGATTAACTGATTGATTGATTGATTGATTGACCGATTGATTGATCGGCTATCTTAAACTCTTAAAAATGTGTTGTATTTCTTGTAGGAATATTTTGATCAGAGGTGGTAATGCAGTTGATGCATCGATCGCTTCGATGTTCTGCCTTGGTGTCACCAATCCTCAGAGTAGTGGTATTGGTGGTGGCTTCATTATGACACTATATAACAGGTACTGTTTCAAATGTTACAAACTCCACTATTTGATTAATTGAACATTTTTGGTTATTAATGAATCATATGAAAATAATAAGCAATTTGTTTACAAAGTAGTTCAAGAAGTTATACTGAATGAGCAACAATTCAAGAATTGAAAACCAATTATCGAAGTAAGAGAATTTTCAGGACTGAAAAGAAATGTACTGTAATTGATGCCAGAGAAACAGCCCCCAATAATGCTAAACGTGATATGTTTATTAATGATGAATTCGGTTCTAAATATGGTAAATTTATGAATACATCAATATATTATATTACACTTTATGTTGGTATCAATGGAAGATGAAAGATTATTATTTCCGGTTTTCGTGCCATAGCAACACCAGGAGAAATTGCCGGATATTGGCTTGTATTCCAACGTTATGGAAGTGGAAAGATATCATGGTACGATCTGATAAAACCATCAATTGATATGTGTCGTTATGGAGTACCAATATCAAAATATCTCGGATATGTTCTTGGTGTTAAAGAAAAACATTTCAGAACATTACCTTCTATGAAGTAAGCCGTTTGTTTGAATGATAAAATAAAATTGGACCAGAATCAAAATCTTGCATCAAAATGTCAAATCTGTATTGTGAGAGATTATGATACTTTGATATCATCTGTATCATGATATTTTTTTTTTTGCTCACGCAGTTTGATTACAGAGATTGGATTAATCGTAGTACTGGTAAAGTATTTGTCGCCGGGGACATTATCAAACGACCTGAATTAGGTAACACATTAGAACGACTTGCACTTAGTCCTGACCCAGTGGAACTTTTCTACCGTGGAGATATTGCCAAAAAATTAGTCAAGGAAATTCAAGATAATGGTTGGTTCATTGAACTTTTTTTCATTCAATAAAATTGTTTGTAAGAGTGAGTTTAATTAAAAACAGAAATGATATGCTGATGAAAATAGAACAAAGATGAAAATAAACAAAAATTAAGACTAGTTGATTAAGTTGGGATTTATTAGACTGCTTTAATTTTAACCACTTGAGCCAGTCAAGTTAGCATGAATTATTGAATGTATTCGACATTAACATGTTGCAGAATTCCTTACCAAGTTAGTTCAGGTGGAATTATCACGGCTAGTGATTTCGCACAATTTAAGCCAACAGTACACGAGCAGCCATTGATCAATGATCACTTTTCGGGTGATCTAGCAATGTGCGGTCCACCACCTCCTTCCTCGTTTGCAGTTACTCAACTAATCATATCTCTCATGGCTCGTTAGTTTTTTATTTTAGCATTATTGTAAGTTTACCAACACTCGTGGGAGCATTTATTTATGATACAATCTGGTGGTGATTCGGATTGAATAACAGTCTTTCCATATTTAACCATATTGCAGGATTTTATGGACCCAAGACAAAGAAAGAGGTACTAAGGCATGATCCACTCTTCTATCACAGACTTCTTGAAGCGCAAAAGTTTGCCTATGCACAAAGGACTCTCATGGGTTAGTCTGTTATATGACAATCTTTTTTTTATAACTATAACGATTTATAAAAATATAACGATAAGTCTATCATCATCAGTGTATTTTAAATAGTACCTACAGAAACATCAGATAACCATTACTGTACATTCGTTGTGCTTTGAATACAGTCAGGACAAAAGTAAAAAACTGACCAAATAACCGCTGCATGGAATAATTCTCATGGCTCTTCTACATTTCCTTCTATTGTTAGGTGATGAAGCTTTCGTGAAAGAGGCTAAAGAGCTTGCAAAGAATATGACAACAAAAGAATACACAGATTGGGTGTTCTCAAGAATGCGCAATGTGACACAACCAACAGAATATTACGGCGGATTTCGAGAGCAAGTAAGAACAGAATAATCAAGCTGAGTAAGATTAAAAATGATGAGTTAAATGAGAAAGCAAAAAAGTTTTCTTATTTACTTTGTATTTTAAGCATTCATTAAAATCATTTCCAGCGAATGAGCTTTATATGGTTGAGTTGAAAATTCTCGTAAGCGTCATCTATCATCTAGTTGAACTACTACTAGCTTCATTATTCCTTTTTCGAAAATCTTCATCACGAGATCAAAGATTATCACCAGTATTTCTGTTTAATAAAATAAAATTTTAATCGGTAAAAGTTACAGTTCAATGATCATGGTACATCGCATGTGTCGGTATTAGACTCTATGGGTAATGCAGTATCCGGCACAAGTACTGTCAATCGATGGTAATTAATATTATTTCAAGTATAAATGAAATTGTTATGGATAAAAACTATTCTGTAATAGTTGTATTCCTTTCCATAAGATCGTATTGCAGGTTTGGTGCAGTAGTACAATCTGTCGAACTGGGCGTTATATTTAATGACGAAATGGATGACTTCTCCACTCCGGGTAATCTATTTCAATTCTTTACTTATATAAGTTAACATTTTACTATAAGTGATGTTTTTATGATCATATAGTATCATAGAAGCCATGCGGATAAGTTTCAAGTATAATGAAAAGATCATACTGCTGCTCATCCATTCTTCTGCTAATCATCCACATACATCTTACGTCAAATGGATCAATCTGCTAGTAACCTAATTAGAGCATTGTTACCGCAAATAATTAGATTAGAGTTCAGTGGTTGATTTGCACCTTCATTAAGCTTAACAACTTAATTAACAGAGTGTGCTAAAAAAGAAAAGTGAATAATTCTGGAAATAATTAAGTTTTTTTTTTGTTAATTTATTTGCAGGTATGGCCAATGGTTTCGGATTTGCGCCATCAGAGCGCAATTTCATTGAGCCCAAGAAGAAACCAATGAGTAGTATGAGTCCAATGATCGTTTATAATAATAAAACGGGAAAAGTTAGTATCTCCTCATACTTAATTACTAATTTATGTTATTTACTAAGTAAAATGCATACGAAATTTCAGGTTGTAATGGTCGCAGGAGCATCCGGTGGTTCGAAAATAATTTCCGCTTTGGCTAAACCTGTAATTCGAGTATTATTTTTCAATGAAACTATAAAAGAAGCTATCGATGCTCCAACATTACACAACCAGTTTACACCAGATGTCACCCAATTTGAACATACCGTGCCTAAGGTTTGCTATCATCTTATCACTCTATAAGATTCATTTCGAGTACAAAAAAGACCATATCATTTGTTAATTGAATTTAGGAATTGATGAATGATTTGACGGAGATTTTTGGACAGAGGTTCAAAGAAACCACGGGTTTCGAAGGTATAGCTCAAGGGATTGTAGTGGGTGACGATGGGACAATCAGCGCCAATGGAGATTACAGACGTCAAAGTGACATGCATCCAGGAGGATATTAGAAATCTCTCCATTAACATGAATATTCTAAATTTGCAGCATTGAAATCAATTCATGTTCTAGTATAATCCTATGCTTATTCTTTCCTCTTTTTTTTTTGTTAAACTTCTTGTTTATGGTATTAAAGATGCTCACTTGTTGGTAGCTAACAACAAGTTCAAACCTATGACAAGAAAAGGAAAATTTTTTAATAAATTAAGTAAGGAAACATTCAAAAATTTCGATTTATACTTCTTGGAAATTTCGGTATAATATTTATGGCGCTATTGTCGTGAAAGTTTATAATCTTTGATTGTTGGTACAAACGAGTAGCCGTAATAAATTATCAATAAATCGTTTATCAATTATCAATAAACGAAGAGTTTTCTCTTCTGGATGTTACAAGACAATTATTGGAAAATACTATTTAAGGGTTTATCGTTGGATTGTTCTTCCTTTGTCCTTATAGCAAAATTTATCAGCTTATCGTTGGATTGTTCTTCCTTTATCCTTATAGCAAAATTTATCAGGAATTTGATAACCTTGTCATTTAGTGAGGGTTTCGATGAGGTATAAACAATAACGATACTATCATATTGAAAAGCATGAAAGACTGATGTTTGATTGTTTTGGCTAATTATGTTTGGTGATCATAATTCTCTACGTAGTGGGGTTGTTTACAAAATCCATAACATTTCAGTAAATTTAATAATAAAACTGGAAGATATAAATATTCCATAAATTGGAAATAATTGATCAATCATAAGATTAGAAGATATCAACTGAACAAATGACCTATTACTTAAAGATCAGAAATTATATTATTATCTCTTCCTGAACTGAATCACTTTTCTAAGAAATATTCTAATTAAAATTTTCCTTTTTATACAACAAGTAATATCGTTAGTTCACAATAATCAGTTCAATTAGTTTCTATAACACAAAATATATTATTTTAATATGATTTATATTATAAAAATATTTCGGTTTTCCCTGATATTTATCATTAAAAGATTGCTTGCACAAGCATGACCGCGAGTCCTCGAAGCATAGAAAATACATGAGAGGAATTTAGTCGGTATTTTCCATTTCAGCATTTATTTTACTTATAACTATAAAATGTACTGTTTAATTAAAAATTTGTTCTATATGAACATAAAATCATTCAATCGTTTCATTCAAGTTAAATATTATTATCTCGATGTAATTAATAGTTTATTGACATTCTGAACTATCAAATGATATCACTAATCATTGCAGTTATTAATAATTAGATTTATGTCACTGGACAAAACAAACATATTTGTTTATGGATGGATGATTGATTATTAGTGATAAGATAACCAATGATTAATAGTAATACATTAAGTGGAATGATATTTCCATAAAAACACATTAATGTCGGATTACCGAAATTAAAACTATGTTCAAATAAAATTGCCACAATATCCAACAGGCAGGGTAAGGAAATCCTGCAAGTAAAATTAAATCGATGAAGAGGATATAAGCTAACACAAAGACCGCACAACACAAAAATATCATTGTACCTACACAGTGGACAATGCCAAAGGCTAGCCATACCTCCATGATAACGCTGATGGAGCTTACAAACTTTTCCCCAATCCTGATATATATATATATATATAGTAATACATTAAGTGGAATGATATTTTCATGAAATGGAAAAATCCAAAAGTAGTGTTTTTACAATCGAGCGGACGATACATCCTCTACACTTGTTCTCCACGACTGAATTACAACGACATCTTCACATATCCGCCACTGCTGGACAACAAACTACGATATTCTTCTATTGGCTAAATACATTTCCCGCAACATATCTCCAACTCAACGACCTATCAACGAATCGACAGTAAAATTATTATCGAAGACAACGACTGT